CGATTTCCCTTAGAGCATCACAGTTACTTAGTGATAGATGGCATAGGGAGCATTTTATCACACTGAATGCTAGCTATCACAGTGATAGTATCATCTAAGATTCAACCTAAGTACTAGCTTGGGGTGAAGACAAGACCCAGTTCAAGGGACTTATGAAAATGTCATCAAAAAATTTTTGGACATCCAAGATTGTGGTTGCTTTTCTTGTCAAAGTGCCCAAAAAATCTGAGAATGTGTTGTCAAGCAATTAGGTACAGAAAATCACAAGACTATTACTTCACTGAAAAAAGTGCACAGCTTATAGTAGCATGCCACACCATCTATCTTAAGGTGATATCACGTCACAGCCACGCAAACTGCTTAGCAGACTCTATTAGCTAGACCATAAAATACACTTGACTAAACACCGGAAAGGTCTCTTATACATCTAGTTTTAATGATAATTGTAATTACGAGCTTCTACGGAGGAAAAGACATTTTTTTAGGAAATTCTAGAAAAGTACATACATATGCAAAAGAGAACACCAAGAAAAAAATGGTGGTATCCCATGTGGGACCCAGCGAGTGTAAAAATTTTGCACGAGCGACGGATACCCACAAGGAAGCTTGTATATATACGTACATGTAGCAAAAGGGAAAGAGCCACTCTTGCGAGTGCTCCGTACTATTAATCGTCACTTTTACCACTGATGACGTCAACGTGTGTCCAAAGAAATAAGAAAAACAAGAAACGCATCTGTGTATATTTTAGGGCAGCGAGTATTTCCCGTACACAGTGGGATGGAGTTTACTGGCGATACTTCCGTAAGAGGAGGTCTTTCTGTTAAAGTACGCTGCTATATTACATTATTACATTAAGTTTCTAGGGGTGGTTATTGGGTTTGTTATGCACTTTCTTCTACTAATAAGATGATGATCTGATCTTGGAAAAATAGATTTGTTAAGACTTTGGAATAAGTTTTTGGCCTTTTACACTAAACGACATAGTCTGTAAGTGTATTCTCATAATTTAGGTACCAATCGTTTCAGGTTGTTTCAGATTTCGTAAGTCTTGAAATTTGTACTTTCATAACAAAAATTTTCTTTATTTGGTTGTTAGTAAAAAGTGTAAGTACCCTCGAAACTTATTGCTTTTGTGTAAAAAAATTTTTGGTAAAAAAAAGTTGCGGTTTACGTATGCATGCATAGGCGTAATTAAGTTTTATGCCTGACTCATGCAGTTTTTGTTGGATTGGGCTGAAATTTGCCAGAGTGCTTGTGTTACATCTAACGTGATGGTTTAAAATCGGCAAGGTTTCCTGTTTTAGAAATAAATGGCAGTCATTTTATGATAGTACTTTCAGTGAAAAGAATCAGTTTGCTGTAAAAGACAAAGCTGTAGATATAACTGAAATACAACTTTTTCGTATTTAATGTTTTCGTCCGAGATGTAATCTAAACGTTCTGTGAGCTAAAAAGGACTCGAAAATTGCAAAAATACAATTTTTTTCTATCTAACTTGTTTGTTTTATATTTTAGATTATAAAATTAAATGTAAGAGTTGTAAATCTTTTCAAAATACATGTTTTTTGTATTGAACACACTTAGTTATGATATGAAATTTGTGCTCTAAATCGCAAAATAATCTGAAAAATCGAAAAATTACCTTTTTCCCTTATCAAACTCACTCGTTTTTCATTTAAGGTTGCAAAATTAATGTAAAACTCCTAGGACTTTAAAAAATATAATTTTTTTGTATCCAACATTTTTGTCTGTAAGATACAATTAACGTTTTAAATTACAAAAATTTCTAAAATAGCTTGTTCAGAATACATGCGATTAACGCTAGAGGCAAAAGCCAAATGCAATAACTATTGTTCTATCAATTGTTCGTCCTAAACTAACAAGATATGGTGCTTATGTATCTACTAACGAAACTTTGTTTTTTCTTTCTTTTAATTTTTCGTCCAAATACCCTATCTAATTTTCATTTTATTTTCTTATGTTATGTTTTTGGATTTCCTAGTACAACTTATGTATTATTCTTAACATTAGTCATGCTATTTTGTATTTGCTTTTCTCAATATTAATATACTCACTCATTCTCATAGATCCATTTTTAAGCCCTTGTCGAAGTTTATGCGCTTTGTAACAATTGTGACACTACCGATCATTAGGGTGTTACCATAATTCTGAAGGTTCCACGATAAGATACAGAAAGTTTGAGTTTATTGATCAGATTATTTAGATACGTCATTGTTCATCACAGAGTTTTAATCTACAAATCTTATTTTCTTGTTGTCGTTAACTGTCATGTATGAGTTATTTAATTGTGAGCTTTTATACTTATACAAATGAAACATCCAAACGATAATCGTACGATTAAAAGCATGTCAAATAAGGAATTCTTAATTTTTTAACAATTTGTCAGCTCTGCAGCGTCGGAAAACCTCCTCGTAGCCAATCTTCTTTTACAAACATTACGTGTGCCTACAATGAAACCTCGTAATCCATCCACAACATGACGTTCGTCACTTTCGTTTGCACATCCTCGATTTTTTTCCATCCCCTCCTCGAGCATGATGGTACGGCAAACTCCAACTTTTACGAGGCATTACGTCAAGATGTCAGAACGAGAGAAACAGAGAGCGAGGAAAAAAAGGGTATAGGTACATCCACCCTTATCCTCTGTGTTGCAAACGATACAACTGCATCCATAGGCTCGCTCTCGATCCTCCCGCGAGGGGATAATGGCCTCACAAAGCGTAACAGACTGATGCGCGTGCCCAAGCTCGCGAGCAATAAACATTCGCCCAAGATAAATGGCCCGAGAGAGAAAGGGAGAGGAGGAGAAGACAGAGTAAAGAGTTGAGCCTAGTCGAAACGACCCTGAGACAGTGATGGGCTTACTACGTACAAGATGGTCTGCGCAGATCGGGAAAAGTGTTTCTCCGTGCTATTATTCAGCCTATACGTGTATGTGTAGCATGAATTCGCGTACGCGATGTATGCCACCTCCGTTGTTTACCTTTGCCACGAGTACCCAAGTCTTGTAGTTTTTGTCTCAGTACACTACTTGATTCTTACTCAATTTCATCATTACTTGAAATAAGATTTATTGTTTCTTTTGCGTAACAATACTATCACTTTAACCCCCAAGGAGTACACTACATACGAGTTGTAAGAAGCATCAAAATCTCAGACTAGCCTGACCGAGATTGGAATTATCGAAACACGAGCACCCATATACTTGCAACTTTATCAGGATCCCCTGCACCCCTGAGATTTTCTCGCACGCTATCACCTTTCGAATAAATTAGAACTCTACGATCAGCTAACCCATACGGTATGAAAACCTTGATCAAACGCCTTTGTCGAAAAATTTATAACCCTCACTTGGACCATATATAGTGAAGTGGACAGCAATAAAAACAATACAATCGCTGTGATCGGGACAAACAGGCAAGACTAAAAAAAACGACTCTCTTTGGATATCTTATACTACAACCTCTTTTTTTCTCTCTCTCTGGGCCTATATATCCTTCGATCTATCCATCTACCAAAAGTGCGCGGGTACGCCAGGTCATCGAATCTCAACTTCTATCTTGAGCAATGTGTCACGGCCGCGAAAGACGACTGGCTAACCAACCAGCCGACTGTTCGTGTATAGGTAAGTATGGTTCGGCGCAGTGGATTGGACAGCAGTTTTTCACACGTGCATCATACGTATAAGGGATGCAGGCATCTTTTATATACTATCGCGCTACATTAAACTGCTAGACGCATACATTGCAAGTGGTGTAACTTTAACGAGGACGAGCCACTGCTTCGATGTATTTAACGGCGCTCTATCAGTTCTCAACTGATGTGATTCCTTTCCACGTCTCCTGGCTTTCGATACACTAACTCTCTTCTCCCGTGCGTAGGTACGTGTATTGTACTTATTTTCTATATTTCGTCTGGACCGTTAAACGTCAGTTCGATTGTTTATATTTTAAAGTCGGAGAGTGAGAAATGGCTAGTATGAGCGATGTTGGTGCGATGGTATCCCTCGTGTGGGGAGAGGGAAAGCCTGTTTGAGCGGGCATCAGTTAAAGACTGTGGGAAACTCGGTGATGGTACCTGCACGGCTGAAAATCTTGCGCGTCCCTTTTGATCTTTTCCACCTGATATGCCATTGAAGTGCAACAGCTATGTTAATTTTTTACACCCATGGGCTGCAAACATCAGAATGTCATGGGTGACTGTTCTTTGAAAACGTGAGGTGTGTGATTTTGCAAGCTTTGTTTGGGTAAACATATTGTTGTTATCTTCATTCACGATTTCTATGCTTTTGATCAATTTATTATCAGTATTGCGTTCTCCTGAGTAGTTTTGATTTTGCAGTTCTCCAGCATGAAAATCAAATAATGTGTCGTTCGTGTACATGTACTTAACTTTGAATGAGAATGGGATTCTAAGTTTCAAAGTTTTTAATAGAACATATATTTAAATCCTTTCTCACTTGATAGTATCCCTGAATGTATCAAGCCTACGGTTTTTATTGACTAATGAAAGCAATTAGACTGCCCTTTCCTATTAAGATCACTAAGATTTGTTAAGGCTGTATGTATTAAAAAAAAGTAACTACATCAACTCTTAGAAAACTGGTTTTGTCGTTATTCAGCTTTTCAATCGAGATACTATTTTTTTTCTTCCTACAATGATCACTCAGTACTACGTCAATACAACAGAAACAAGATTTGTACACCACTACATTCTTCTTTTGTAAAATATTCATGGATAATAAACAAATGACATGTTTTGAATGCATGTGATGGAAAAAAAAGTTGTAAAATTACTTATTTTATTAATTTCCACTATTTCCACCTAGAGTTTGTTGTATGAACTCTACATTTCTGTTCGTTTCTTTAACCTTTTTTTCACATCAATATACTTGTATGAATAAAAATCAATGTTATTCTATAACAATTACTTCTCAATAGCAAATTTTTTATGTAGCCTCATCTTTTCTGTTACAGATGCCGCAAACGGTGCCAACGGGCACAGACTACTCGTCGTCTTTTGATTATAGTGCCTTCCAGTTTGACCTATCCTTACTGGCTGATGACTACCTTAGCCACAATGCAACTTCTACAACAATGACAACAGCAACAGAAAACAACAACCAAACAACAACAATGGTACCCTCCAGCGCCCACTACCTGCATCCAGGCTGTGGTGGACTGGACAATAGCCTTAAAGTGCCACAAATTAAGCAGGAGATTCACTCACCACGAGCAGTATCTCCCAGCTGCACAGCCTATTCCAGTCCTTCATATCCCTGTATATCTAGTGGTGAACTATCGCCTAACTACTCGCGTGATGCATCGCCAGCGTATCCAACGAGCCCGTATTACGTACCTCAAAGTCCGCAGAGTGCTCAGCTTTATCCTACCAGTCCTGAACCTGCGACCACTACCATGAGCAAACAGCAGGTCAAGCGAGAAAAGAGCTTAGATTTGCTTACCATACTATACGAGTCTAGGTGAGTTAAAACTTCATTATTGAATACAATCAACTCTGTGTTCATAATCTAACTTTTTACTATTTCTTTTTCCTTGTAACAATTATTGTTCTTGCATGTTTTCTTCCAGCTTATTTTTGTATGATAATATCTCTACGTATTTAATTTTCTAAATATTAAAGTACATTAATTGAAGAGCTTGACCCTGAGACATTATCTTGCACTTCATTTAACATTTATCGTTGCTTTATCGTTATCGTTACATTTTTATTTGTATGTTTGTGTTTGTGCTAGTAACTGTGATTTTTTTCTTAGCTTTTTTATGAAGTGTAACACATTGAAAAACTCTTTGTTGTAACAGGAATGCATTTAGTCATGACATCTCATTTTTAATTAATAGACTTTACTATTGATTTCTGTAACAAAAAGTGGATTGTATCGATTTTGCAAAGACAAAACGTGTAATGACTATTTTAAAAGACGCATAAAAAATTGTTTTACGGTTTGAAACACGTTTGATATGAAACACTTTTGTTGATCAATTCAATCACTAAATTTTTTTCTTTTATGTTTATATACAAGGTATAGTTAGGTATAAGTAGCGGATGCACCCGCATAAATCATCCCATATATCAGGTTAACGATAAGGAAAATTTTAGTTGGTATAGGTACAGTACTAACTAGACAAACACTTTGATAATTTTGAATCAGGTGGTTATGAATTTTTTTTTTTTTTATTAGATCATAAGTATATTCATACCAACACCTCACTTTCCGGAGTGGTTTTACGGAAAATATGTTATTATCGTCCTTATAAACTAGAACCTAGAATTTACAGAACTTTGATAACTAGACACCCTATTTCCTGGAATTGACTTAGAGAAATATTTAATGATAGACCTTGTAGATCAGAAACTTGAATCAAGTATATTCTGACACCTATAGACACGGAGAATTATGTATGTTCTGATACCTAGGGAAATAGAGTCCAATTGATAAAGCCTAAAATAAATCTTTAATGAAATCTGATTCAAGAATTAATATATCAGCTATCAATCTAATTCTAACAAGTATTTTAATGTCATCTGCAAAGACAAGAGTAGATTGCTGATAAGTCATCAATAAAGATTCGAAATAATAATGGACCAAGGTGTGAATCTTAAGGAACTAAACTAGTATTAATACCTTGTTATCGTAGTTTAAGAATTAGAGCTTTGTGTGATACGAGCGACATACACTAATAAGATCTATTAGTTTTGGTAAAGCACTCGAAATAATAATGGATTGATCATTGGTGGCTCATTGACGATCGCCAGATTGTCAAATAGGAAAATAAAAGGTTTTCAAATATCAGAAAAATAACCTTGAGCAGAAGAGATTAAAAAAAAGTACAGAAAGAGAAAGGGACAAAACAGAAGAAGAAAATTTAGACTAGTTAGATAATTTTGAATAAAAAGAATATTCAAGAATATTAAAGTAGGAATTTCATTAAAGGATTTAATCTTCTATTGAATGTTTGGATAAGCTAAATAATGATCAATAAGCTGAACTAAATGCTTCTCTGTGTCTTTTGTTTTTATTGGATATAACATTATTCCTAGCTGAGAGGAAAGATCTTCTAGAAATGTCTAACAGTACATCTTGTTTGGAAGTACTGCTACCTATTTTAAAATGTAAGGTACAGTTGTACCACTGAGATTTTATCCAGTATCTTAATCTTAGCTATGTGCTAAATTTCTACATTATCCATTATTGTTTATCATACACAGTCACTAAATGCTCAAAACCTCTATGAATAACAAGATAGAAGACTCGTTTTAGTTTTTCTGCGACCTTAGAAGATAGTTCATTTAAAGAATTACTCTTTTGCCATGGTGCATTCTCAATTCCTAACACCCTTTCGTCTATTTATTCTAATACTTCTGAAATTAAGCTAAGATTCTGTAATCGTTTATCAAGCTCATTAATAATAGAGGAAATGTCTGTTTTATAAGCAGTTTATAAGATGATCAGTGGGTTTAGAATTAAAAAAAAAGGGACTTTAAGTCATCTGTGGCTAGGTCAACAAAACAGAATTAAAAGGTCTGACATAAAGTAGGTTCACCATTAATGTTACGTAGGTAAATAGTCATTAGTAGTTAAAAGCTAGTTAAAAAAGATCAAGATACTGGTGCATTAAGTAAAAAATGTTGCGTTATGCGTTGGGGCTGCTGCTTGGACAATTTTTCAAGTAAAGACAGACATGTTGCACTTTTACGACAACGACGATAAATATTCGATAATTTGGTTACACATATCTTAGAACACGATAAGTGATTAAAAATATCATGGATTAATACTTAACACAATTATTAACAGCTTTAGCCTTGTAATATCTATAACTTTCTATTTACTGTACAATTGATACAAAATATAGGTTATGTATATGTAGTCAATTGAACCTATTCGAAGTCAAAAAACTAACTAAAGGAATAAAAAAGATTTCTAGTATTATCAAGTTAAAAGCATGTCTCTTAGATGTAATAGGCCACTTGATAGCCGTTTTACTGCTATTGATAACAGAAAAAATAAAAAATGCTAGACACGAGGCAAGAAACACTTGTCTCAGTTGGCTCAACCACACATCAGTTTTACGTAAAAGCATGATGCAAAAAAAGTTACGGTAGTCTCATTAAATTGTTAGACTACTTTAATTCTTTATAAAAATAAGCTATAAATTATTTCTAATGTTGTTATTAGCAAGACTCTTTTTTGTGCGAATAATTATGTTTTTTACATCTTTCAAGTATTTTGAATTTCCCAAATAAAACTGTTTAGCAAAATCTGAATACTGAGAAAAAAAAAATTATAGAAATTACTCTGCAGCAAACTAAAGGAGATCTACTTGCAAACAGCTCATTTAAAAGTCCGGCAACTGTCCATTTTTCTGTGGGTTATGACGATACAGTTGTTTTTTCCTACTTACTTCCTTTCACGACTTGTACACAGTGATATTAAAATATCTGTATGTAAAAAATCGTAGAAATTATTTAACAGATAGATACTAAATAACTAACAAACATGAAAAATGACAACTCAAATATCAAATTATGGTCAAATTGTTGCTTAATTGAAATTGATTGTTTACAGCTACAAGTAAATAATCAGTAATAGTAGGAGAAAAGTCCCAGAAACTTCTCTTTAGTTTTTTCTCAAAGTATAACATTTTATTGGGTGGCTTATGCATCTCAGTTTTATACTGTTTTCTAAATCAATCAAGATTCAACGTAAGAACTATATAGAAAACTAGGATCTAAAATCAATGTCATCGATAAGTACCAACAATTCTAACATATCTTATTTTCACAATTTCAGACTTCTTGCGGAAAGCTTGGGCTACAAAGAGGACTCGACGGACTGCACAGTACCTTGCACACCACCTCGAACAGAGGAAGATATCTACAATAACCTTGATGCTGATTTCTTTGCTTTAAAAAAGGAGGAATCGAATCCCTTGCTCAAAGAGATCCTCTTCAAGAATAAGGGGGAGAGCCGATACTTGCGCTCTTCGGTCTCCTCGTCAGCGTCAACTTGTTCTTCATCCTCACTTGCCTCTTCGCCAACTCCACCATCCCTTGACTACGAAAAGTCGTCTCTGCGAGAACTCCTTTTCCGATCACATAACTCTACACCCAGTACAGTTGCAGCAGCCGCGGCAGCTATCTGTTCCGCCAAAAGTACAGTGGGTAGAAGCGATTCCAAGTTCACGATACCAATTATTAAGATCGACAAATATAAGGAGCCAAGGACGCAACTGGATGACGATGCCGATGCTGCAAAGAGAATCACCAGTGGTGATCACCAGCTGCTGCGAGAAGTGCTGAGGGACACAAGTTTTCAGCGCAAATACAACCTCAGGCCTCTCGATTTAGGCGTGGTTGGCACGGGCTTCGTCGAGGACATGGCCGAGAGTGGCGAGTGCGTCGGTGAGTTGGCTAGAGAGCAGATCGAACCTGTCCTCAGCCTTGCTATTCAGCAGCTGCAGAAGGACTTCGATAATACCTGCGTCGCACTCGGTATACACCCTGGTAAGTGAAATACTATTATTGGTCATTAAAATACGTTATATTATTTTTCTTTTTTTTTCATTAATATTTGGGTAAGTATTACATATTATATCATTTACAGCACTTTTTTCGGGCAAGCACCTTTTTCTTGGCTGTTTATTTGTTTGGCAAGTACCTTTGTTGTTTTGAATTCTGTTTATCTTATCACTGTGGAGAAATGGTTTTCATAAGGTCAATGTCTTGACAGTACAATATCTCGTTACTTTTAATCAAGTATATTGGTTCTTTATATTTAGAAAACAGTTATTAATAGTCAAATATATTAAGATTATTTTGTTTCTGTTGTAAAGAAGTGTACATGCATTGAAAATCAATTAGGAATATTAACGACAGGGATACTGACCATGTCTGTGGGAAGATTATTTGTGAAAATGGTTTTTTTATTCCGAGAAAATCTAATGATAATTCACGACTCGTCTAGATGGTATTCGTTTCTTCCGAGATAACCACAATAACACATAGTATTTTGAATACATTATTCAAGTGGATCTAGACAGTCGTTTGCTGCACTTCTTGTGCTGCTATTTTCGTTATTCATTCATTTTTCTCTTATAAAATAATTAATTTCAATTTTACTAATTTTACTTTTATTTACAATGTTGGTTATGGACTGAGAAACAAAATAAAATTCCTCTTCAAAAGAATAGAACCAATTAGCCATTACAGGTATGAAGATAAACAGTACTAGAACTGATTTTTATTCAATTATCAGGTATACTATCGACTTTTCTAAATGTGTAATTTATATTAACATAATCTACCTTGAACTAAGAGAATCGAATTAAATGCTTCTATGAAAATTAATCAACATAACTATTTCTAATTCGACCATAGAATCTCACATTCAAAGAATAGATCATAGAAAGAAGTTTTGACTATTAGATCTCATGTCTTAACAGCTCCTATTCTTATGACATAATAAGAGTGAACGTGGATGAAGAACTGGTATCCGCCTTGTAAAACAACAAAAAAACATTGAAATCTCGTCTGCAATGTATGACGAAGCACCAGGTATTTCCTTACAATTTCCGTGCCTCTTCGGTCTCACCTCTCCAAAAGAACCATGTAAAACACAAAACACGTCCAGAGTAAATGTAACGACATAAAAAAAATTGGCTACGTGACACCTAAAACTACCTTGCCGCTGGCTATGAGACTTGCTCTATTCTCGGTTTTTCTGTTTTTGGTTTCTCCAAATGAGCAAATAAGCTCAGGTATCCCTTTCTTCCTCCTCTCATTTTTTTTCATACTTATACATACCATCTCTCATACTATCAAAACCAAAAATTTTAGTATATAGCTGTCCAGCTCTCCATTGTACATTCATCCATTCGTCGTCCCACTTGTAAAATTCGGTTTTAATGGAAAGGAACTTTGGACTCTTGCTCACTTTCATCCATCAAGGTTGCGCGAATTTTTTGGCTCTCACTTATTCACCTTCCTTGCGTGTCCACATACATACTCACAGTCCTTTCAGTTTTATCCAAACGACTTTTCCGTGCTTGTACGGCTTACTCTCATATTCGGCTGGCTCTGACGTCTTTTGGATTGTTGTGCGCAACTCGATGATCCACAGCTATATGAGAGAAAGGCGCCTGGAGATTTTTTTTTGATTGCGTGTTCTTTGATATCCCGTTATGAAACACTTTTTTTCTAACTACAGTACGCCCGTGTCGAGTCGACGATTCTTTGGGTGGAATGCGAATTTCACTTAATTTCTTTATCCCTATGTCTGTCTGTGACAGGGTAGAAAGTTGTTTATTACAAGTATCGAGATTATAATGTACAAATGGTACACGATTTCTGTTCAACCGAGTATTGTAGTCAATGCATCAATATCTTGCTTTATTCTTTCGACTATAAGCTGTTTTGATAAACAGTCGTAAATATTGAGTATATTCATGTTTGAACTTGTTCACTGCTTGATGTTTCTCTATTTTTTAACAAGTCAAAATTTACATCATCTCTTTATTAGATCACTTTGTGAAGATTTCATTTTCCCGTATGTGTAGTTTTTCCCATAGAAACTTAAAAAATGGAAAGTTGAACTTGGAGTACACTATATATATCGTATAGGCTAGTGATGAAGTCAAAAGAGAGAGAGAGAGAGAGAGAAATACTGCGAGCCAAAGCGTAATGCTAAATTAATTTCCAAGCAAGATTATTTTTCGATGGTTCCTCGTCACGTTTCTTCCGTATCTTTGAATCAGGTATGAAATTGACCCATAGAAAATAATACTTCCAACTAACTTTGATAAGAAAAAGAATATATTTGTCATCTTTTTGTTTCATTAGTACGCTCAGAATAAAACGTTTGATCGTATTGAAATGATTTCTTAACGTTTGGTTAGCTTTTTTCTTTGCTACATTGAGGTATAGAAAGAGTATTGTGATTTTTTAAAACATATTCGGTTACTCACTATTCAAAGTATTTCAACGGCTTGTAGTCGATTGTTTTAAAAATTTTTAGCAACCTTAAAAAATAAATTATCATCGTAACTGACATAAATATTTTAAAAAACGACTTCGTAACAAATAAAAACAAGTTTTTGTATAACAATGGCTAAAAAGACCATCAAAGACCAAAAAGCTTATTGCTTAAATGAGAGGGTTAACGTTGAAAATTACATTAATTACTTAAATTAATTAGAATTTCGAGTACAATCCATTAAATTTGAGAGAACTTACTTGAACATAGACCTTGTATCCTATTAATTAAGTTAATTATAGACGTATATTTCTACTTTAAATAAGTGTTTTCCATTTTTCGTAAGCCCTGTTTATAAATGCTTGAGATGATTTGAAACTAATTTCGTATCGAAACTGTTATTTTTTAATAATAAAAGTCCTGATACTGACTTATTTGTATCAACATAGTCTATAGCACTCGGCTTATCTGCTTTTGCAAGCATAATCATGATAACACTTTATATTTAGGTAAACGGTACCAGTAGTTGTTCGACAAAAACCAGTCCTAGCACTCGGTCATTTTTTTTAGGTTAGACTGCTTTTTCCATCAGCATATTTCTGCTTTTGACACTTTGTAACATTCTTCTTTCATAAATGTCAAAAAAATTAACATATGAACAGTATCTTCATTAGAAAATAACATAGAATAAGCAGATGGTTGAGTGAACAACGGTTCAATTCTATCACACCTTTTTTTGATTTGTGTTGCAGAACCCTGCCGTTGGAGCGTGGCAGACGTTGCAGCCTGGGTACAGTGGGCAAAACGACAATTGCAACTGCCATCCCTCCCACTGGAAAGTTTTAACGTTAACGGAGCCACTTTAGCTTCGTTTACGGAAGAGGACTTCTGCCAAAGAGCTCCTCAGGTATGTTTAATTGAGACACTTATGTTAGATATTCAACAAAATTATGAACCGTGGTGAACAAGTATTCCTGGTAGTTATTCTAAACTATACATAATAGAATACTACAAGTAAAATAATTGGTGCATAAATGACCTACTTGACGGTATTGGTATTGTAGTAGTTCATCCACTTGATTTACGATTTTGGTCATTTGCAATAGTTTTAAAACAACGATATAAACAAGCCCACAATAACATTAGCATCAAAATATAGGTATCAGACTTAAGTCAACAACATTAGTTAAAAATCTAGCAAAAGCAGATTTTACTAGTTGTTGAGCTAACTGTGGATAAAATAAACAAATCGTCTTCTTGCTTGAAAAAATATATGACCGGTAATACTTTTTTTGATTTTATATTTTGTATGAAATACCATATAAAAAATTTTGTATCATACGATCTTCTAGTATAGAAATTTGACACGAGTTGAAACTACAGTTTTCTCTAAATTAAATGGCCTTGTTAAAATGGTGTTAAGTGAAACACCAAACCAGATTCTACGCGCACATACAATAACTGTATCTTGATTTTTGCTTCCTTGGGTGACCCACAAATCTTTGTTTAAAGTCGATTCTGTTAACTAAAGCTGACCTATTTTTAAACTAAGTAGAAGAGTAACAACATTAAGTAAATCCAATACTGTAAATAAGCTTGAGCTCTTACTTTTTATGCTAAGTTAATACCACAAATACAATATTTATAGTAAAGTGATGACGGTTGACAAACAAGACTACAAGAACAAACACTTACCTGAACGTACAACAGCCGATCGTTCCCAATCTCGTTGCACAAAGCCATTAGCCCCAAAAACAAAATTAATAGGTTTCTCACGCGGGACTTAAGTTAAGAGATTGTTGGACCAGAAAGAGGAGAGAGAGAGGTGAAGTTCCCGCTCTCTATCATTGTCGTGCCCTGTCTTTGCACAACCACCATCTGCAGAATGATACCTATGGAAGACCAACCCATTGGCCCTCGCCTCTACGCTGGAACGAAACAAAATGAAAAAATAACCGACCACCTTCTCTGTAGCTCAGGAGTAATTTTCTAAGTCCGCACGTGCGCTGCCTCTCTGTGCTTATTAATGGTCGGCGATTTTGCGTAAGTGGTAGGTGCATTACGTGGAGCGATTAGATACAACGGCTTAGACGTGTAGTCCGCTTTCATTGTGTTTTGCCTTTCAAAGTGAAGAATAAAAAAAAAACTCCGGCCAAGATGACATTCAGGAGGGCGGATAATTCTGAATGACGGCTTTTCCCCTTTTACGGGACGTGGTTTTGTTTCCTGTGCCATCTGACTGTCCGCGGGCGTTTTTCACCGCATAATTGCAAACGCCCAATGCCCGCTGAGAGGACAATGATGATTTCCTCGTTCTCCTTGCGGTGACGTTTATCGTTTTTTTTCTGTTCATTTGTTTGTCAAATATTGAATAGTACTTTTTTTTCTTACAGTGCCCGAACTGTCTGTTAATTGCTGTTCTAAGTTGAAAATAGATTTCTTAATTTGTATTTTTCATGTAATTTTGTTTGGTTTTTATTTAATATAATTTAATTATTCGTTTACTACGTACAATTTAAATACGTTTCTAAATCAAAAGTATTTTTCTGGTTTAAATATAACGTAACTATTTTACTTAGAATGCCTATATTCCAAATTTAATAATAACTTGTTCAGTAATGCTAACGAAAAGTGACTTTCAGACTTTAGTTGGTGGTTTATAAAAACGAACATAAGATGATAATGTGCTATGTGAAATATTATTTACTCAGAAAAATTTTGACAGGAAAATCTTTGTAAGAATTTTCGTTACTTAGTTTGAAAAACCGCAGCTGGTTCTGCAACAAATGTTTTCCTTATATCATTAGGTCAATGACAAAAAATATTATCTTACTCAAACAGAAGTATTGTTGATTGACACTTGGACTGATATTAAATTGGTAATGTATCGAATTTTCTGAACTGCTAGTACAATTAGTGTTATTATTATAAGAAATCTTTCAAATGGCTTACAATATTCTGAAAAATAAATCATTGAAATACTGTAGACAATTTAATATTATACAAAAATGTGTCGTAATCAATAATAAATGTTCCAACATATTTCAATAGTTTTTGTTTCCGTTCAACATAAGTTTAAGTAAATTTAATTTTTCCGTTAGATACGTACTAATTAAGGCTTAATTTTAACACATGTTAGTTAAGAAGGTTCGGAATTATCATTCAAAGGGACGAGGAAAGGGGAGTCCCCTCTGCCCGCGCATCTTGGCCCCCTTTACCGCACACCCCCTCTTGCACCACACAAACTCAATATTTTCCTTACATTTAACGTTGGCATCGTTTAAAATGCACTATAACATGCCTCTAAATTTTGCTAACCGAATAATTAAACAATAATTAACTCGTAGGTAGATTTTTTTCCATAACTTTGCATTTTTTTAAAAGTTTTGTCCATTTAAGCGAGACAAAGAGGTTCACTTTCACAAGAGCCTATATTAATCACATGATTTTTGTTTGTATAATTCTTTTAAAAATGACCTGTAAAAAAGATTGAAAAAATTTATATAAATTCTTAGTATTGTAGACTATCAAGAAAACTCTATATTATTGTGATCTTTGCATTTTATTATTACTCCCGAAACTCCTTAATACCAAATTAATGCTTGCTCAAACTTTTTCCTGTAACAAGATACATTGTCATTTTTTTCCAACACAAATTTGTTTCAAAAGAATTTTTACAGTGTTCGTTAGTTTTTAGAATATTTTTCCAATTTAGTTTTTTAGTTTTTAAATGTAGTTAGCTAATTTCCATGATTTATCGACCTATATTCATTTGGCTACATGCAACTGTCTACATTTCTTATAAATTTTTTTATACTTTTTTACTAATTAACGCTCAGAGAAAGTATGTACGTATCTGTGTACTCGAATGAATACGTAATCATTAGTTTTTCAACAACAAACGTGATTATTATTTTTTTTTGTTTTACTATCATGCTGTAGTTTATACTTAGAGATGATAGCTATTTACTCCTACATCATAATGGCTTGGCATGTACGTTGAAAAACTTTGTGTTAGGCGAATCCTTAAAATAACGTCCTATTTATTTCTTGAATAATATTTCTCAACATGTTTTACATAAAAGATAATGTTAAAACAAGATTTAATTGTTTTCTGGGTAACGTAAGGTTTCGAATGATTTTCCGACAACTTAATTTATTGGCAAAAAAATATTTATTATTAATAAAAATTATAAATTATCATATTTACATCAAGTAAATACACATAGCAATTAATTTCGTTCTATTTTTCGATTACAACTCAGCTGAAACTATCGTTCGATTCCATGAGATCCAAGGAAATCTTATTTTAACAACTTCAAGCCCAATTAAATTTCATGGATAGCAATGGGGCTTGTGTAATTGCCTCCTGAGCTAAATATAAGGGAGGCAATGGAGTCAATTTATTTATTAAATATTTTACAATTCTCTTGCACTTTAAGTTTTGTTGAATACTTACAAAGAACGTGTGTTTTTGCACAATTTTAATGAATACTACAAAAACCATTTGCATGAAACAAGAATTTTTATGAACTCATAAGAACACAATACTTTAACACTATAAAAGATTTGTTTGTTAATCTGTGCAAGAGGAATGTCACTTGTAATATTTTCGATGAATCGTTTTTGTAGGAAAGGCATAGTAATACGAAAAAATCCTAATTTTGGAAAAAGGTGTGATAGTACCTGTTATAATTTTTTGAAAACTTTTATACTTTTATAATAAAAACTATGCATTATGTATAAATTTATTTCATACTGCCGTGAATCAAACATAACCTTTTACATAATTGTTTCTATATGATAGCAAACAAATTAATCACTAAAACTTCCATTTTAGTATTAAAAATTCATTCCATTTTAATTAAATACACATGCAGTCTAATATCACTAGTTTTTGTACGTTTGTCACATTAACAAAGTGATGAATTCCAACCAATCATATAAAGATCAGAAGGTTTGAGTCATGTGATTAATCTTTTAAAGTACTTTAAGTTTCACGAAAAAATATCACATGATTGTCACGTATTTTACATTTTATTTCATGTCAAATAAAGTATATCGTAGTTTTTGCAATACATATAAGATTTTCTGATATCAAAAAGTGTAATCAAACTAGACATTAATTATACACAAAATATTACGCTTACGCTGCAAAATTATTTCTGAATTGGAACACACCCAAATGGAATTTATATTTTCATATCGTTTACGCTCACTTCCCATACAAATATTACAGAAGCGATAGAATATCCAAAGTAAACGACATACAATAGTTTTTCATTAAATCCAGAATACTTTTTAAATGAATAAGTTAGTTCTCGTTTGTCAGTCATAGAAGACAATACCGTACTTCGTATCTCCGCCTTGTTGTGCTCGGGAGTTTCGATGTGATACTTCTGTAAAAATTTCTTTTCCAAAAAAAATACATGCATATTTTCCCAATGCATCTGTAAACCCGTTTCGTAAGACTTGTCCAAATAATAATTAATTTTATCGACTAAAGGCAAAGATGGTGAAATAAGAAAGCATTTGTAGTATTTTGAGAACTTTACCGGTGGATTCGCCAAACTTAATTGATGTCCTTGATTCATTCTGGAATTATACAGCATTGCATAGATCTCAGCCAGTTTTCTATAACTCTTACATACGTTTATATTTACGCAAAACATAAAGTACATGCATTGCTCATCAGTAATGGGAAATTTTATTTTTGTTTTATTTATTATAACATATTTATCACTATAATCTAGCCGCATAAAATAGAGTGTATCGTAAGTCGAATTAAATTGATGAATAGTAGTTAACAAATCTTTAAATTCTGTAACCTTGTAACATTTAATTTCAGATGATGAAACGTCAAATCCAAAGAAAAAGATGTTGAGGGTAAAAATGATCGAACCCATA